TGATAGTAATCCCGACACTGAGGTCAGTTGTAATAGAACTGCTTGCTTAATTGCTGGGCAATCCCTGGTAGTAAGATGCACAGGGAATCCAATGCAGTTCTCCTCTCTGGGTTCTCTACTATTTGGGGGAGTTTGGGGCCAAGACGCTGAGAATCTGGATTTCTTGCTTCTCAGATCTCCCCTATGCATTCTTTGTTCTAGCTGGACTTGGCTATCTCTCTCAGGAATTATCATCCCTGACTTTAACAACATCGCTTCTGACATTTAGCCAACCTGAGATTTGTTTCTCTACCCCATGTATCCAATTATACTCATTCTACAAGGCCCAGTTCCATTCTCACTTCATTCATGAGATCCAGCTAAGCCCTCCCATATAACTCCCTCATTTTCTGCCCACACCACCACCATTTGCAGGTCACTGCCTCATATTGTTTGCTAATGTCAAGCTTCATGATGGCAAGGATCCTGGATTCTTTTTCTTTGTAACCTTAAAGACATGTGGATAGATATATTTCATAACAGAACATATTCTCTGAGGCCCATAGAACTCCAGGTTGGTTTAAAATGGAAGAAAAAATTAAAGATGGGAAGTGAGCTATCAAAGAATCCACTCCTGGAACTTAGAAACTTTTCATTTGCCAGGACTGATTCCAACGTCAATTGTTGGAATTCTACCCTGACCCTCCTTCAAATCCCTATCCCCACCAAACTTCCCAGCCCCCACTATGAACTACAGATACTACTGTCAGTAGAAACAGCCCCATTTTCTCCTTGCTTGAGAGGGTACTGACTTGCATACCAAATGTTGGGGATAGAATAAAATAATAAGGTTAAAACATATTTAATCTTACTCTTCAAGATGGACCTGTTTTAAGCATTTTACACATATTAACTCAGTTAACCTTACAGCAATCCCATGATGTAAGCAGCACCCTAGTGGTACCCTTCCCTCCAATTTTACAAAGTGGTAGATTTAGGTTAGTTATAAATTCTTGCTATCCTCCCATCGTGAAGTGAGGTTTATGTTTCCTTTCCCTGAAACTTCAAAACCTGGAAAAACTTTCACTAGGAGCCCTGAACCTCCATGAACTAGAAACGACATTGAGAGGGACATGGACCCAGCTGAGTCCAGTGTTTCTAGTTAACCCACCAAGACACAAGGTGTGTGAGTGAAGCCAGACTCTCCAGACCAGAGGAGCCACTGAGGGATCTCAGCCAACACCCTGTGGGGCAGAAGAATTGCCTTGTTGAGCCCTGCCCAAATTTCTGAGCCACAAAATTGTGAGATCCAATGACACAGTTATTTGAAGCCACTAAGTTATGGGAAAATTTGTTTCATAACAATAGTTAACTAGAACATATGTGACTTGCTCACAGTCACTTAGCTAATGTGAAGAAGATCTAGGTTTTAAACCCAGGCAGCCCAACTCCAAGCACATGCATTTAATCACTGCTCTAGCAGTGATTTTCACCGAGGAAAAATTAAAATTGTCCAAAGCACACTGATCATTCTGGAGGGAAAACTATCTGTAAGCCATGCCACTTCTGGTTGTTAAATGATGATAAGGTATGTTATAAAGCCTATTTTGTTTTCCAATTTATTCAATAAATATTCATTGAGCACCTATCTTTACTTGAATACTATCACTCACCCACCTGCTTTCTCAATGTACTCACCTGTCTTCTCAATGCACCCACCTGCTTTCTCAATCTTAACTTTCGTGTCTTTTTTTTTTTTTTTAATATTCAGGGGAGGACCTAGACACACTTTTTTTTTTTTTTTAAGATTTATTTATTTTAGAGAGAGAGTGTGCACAAGTGGGGGGAGGGGCAAAGGGAGAGGAAAGAGGGGAAGCAGACTCCCCGCTAAGAGGGGAGCCCGATGCGGGGCTCAATCTCAGGATTCTGAGGTCATGACATGAGCTGAAACCAAGAGTCTGATGCTTAAATGACTGAGCCACCCAGGTGCCCTTAGGCACACTCTTCTTAATATAGGATAAAGACCTGATGCTTGGGCACCCTAGCTGTGAGTGATTTAACATAGTCCATGTGATCCACAAGCAAAATGTAACAAACTGGAGTATCAGAAAGATCAAAGTAGTGATTACTTCTGGGAGGCTAGAGCACTGAAGGGCCATGTCAACTCAAAAACTATTAGTTTATGTTCATACACAGGTAAGCGCAGCACTGAAAGCACTTTCCAGTTTTACTCTGATCTGAAATCAACGCAAACCAAAGTCAATCAGAAACGAACTGCTCAAATGTTTCTTTAGCTTATGCTTCAAGAAGGAACCAGTAGATTATCGTATAATCAGATGGTTTTAGATCAGGTTTTTATGCTTATTTTATTTCTCCTGGAAGAGTCTAATTTTAGGACAACCCTGGTCTATCAAGGTTATCAAAGCAAAGGAAGACAGAACAGAGTATCATCTGGAAAAGGCTGTAAGATTTCACACATGACTGGCCTGGTAAACATGAAATCCAGACTTCCTCAGTTCTTTTTTCTCCCACGGATCAAATTTTTATCAGTCCACTTCACCCTAGAAAATTAGCTGGATCACACTGGACATATGAGAACTTCTGAGACTGACCTTCCTCACCCTAAGTCCTCAGAGGCTGGGAATTGTCCTAAATCTTGGGTCCCCAGTCCTAGCAGAGGCTTGATGTAATCTGTGCTTGAGATCAGAAAAGGGTTGGAGACAAGGCAGGCTACTGAATTTTTATGGAGCCGAGGGCAAAGTTCTTTTTTTTTAATTTTTTATTTTTGTAGTTTCAAGTTTTTATTTAGGTTCCAGTTAGTTAACATACAGTGTAATATTCGGTTCAGGAGTAGAATTTAGTGATTCATCACTTACATAGAACACCCAGTGCTCATCACAATACGTGTCAGGCAAAGTTCTTATGGCTAGTTGGCAAGAACAAAAAAGTCCAAAATCCTTGGCATCAAATTATTTCCTCTAGCTAATCTTTACAAAGAATATGGACCTTTTTGATCCCTCATCCCAGTCCAATCTAATTCTGCTAGTCTGCTGTCTTTTCTCTAAGAGTTTGCATTTACATACCCTTAAGAACAAAAAGGTCATCAGATTTATAACTCCCCTTTATAGTCATGGTAGAAGCAAAAGGAAAGATACGTAGATCAAATCCCATTATCACTGGACTCAGGAAAAGAAACCCTCACGGGAGGCTGTTAGGGCATGCTCCAGCTGTCCACATCTTTCCATAATGAGAACAGATTCTATGGTGTTCAGAGTCATAATCACTTGCAAGACTTTTGTGCCTTGTACCCTACTCTTCTTTGGAAGTTCTGGCTTTCTCCGTTTTTGGAAAGATTCACCCAGTATCCTCCTATCTGTGTGTTTGCTGCAGGAGGAAAAGCCAAAAACCCAGTAATTACCATGGCTTAGTCCCTGAATCCCTATGTAACATTAAGTCCTCCCGAGGTCAGTAAAAATTTGGCCTTGAAAAAGATTACAGGACAGCCACTCGTATGAAGAAAAAGCCATTTGCTCCTCTGTTTCCCACAGCGTTAATGGAATGTATTACGACAGAAACAGAACAAGTCTGCCAGGACCTGGGCAGACAGAACTATCCTTTCACCAACCATAAACAGATCTGCTCTTGAGCTAGAGAGAGTCATAATAGAAATATATATTGCCTTTTATCTTCTTTTCAGTGAGTAGAGTGAAGTGTCAGGAGTTATTGGTTTAATATCAGTAGAGAAGAAGCTATTTCTTTTTTGAGCGTGTACATAGGTGTACATGCAACAGCACACACAACTATACGAGTGTGATGCTAACCCGGTTCTTAGTAGCACTTCTAAAACACATAAAATTGGCCTGATAACATCATCAGTGTATACAGCCTCAAATTGTTCCTGTGGAATCTTGTAAGGAGCTGTCTGGGTATTTCTGCTCAAAGAAAAGGGAAAAGGAAGACAACACTTTTATCTCTACTTAACTCGCATAAACTTAGTTCAGAAGAATGAGAACACATAGGGGGGCTTAATTGATTATTGACTCTACATTTACAATGCCCACTGAAATCAATGGGAGGGTGATGTCAAAGACTCAACTGAGGCCCTGGATAATGTCTTAAAACTAAGAAACAGAAAGGACAAGTCCTGATCTACTGAATCTTCTATAAATGCTAACTAGGCTCGGAGTAATTTCCCCACAAGCAATTGGAATGTCTTATTTTATGCCACAGCATTTAAGGCTAATAACTCGATTAACCTCCTATCCCCTACTAACTAGATTTATGAAATGCCAAGGGAGTCAGCAAAGCATTAGGCTTTAGCTTGGGTATAATTACTTTTAAGTGAAAAAATAAAACCATTACCACAAAACTAAGTACTTCCTATATAGCTAAAGTCAGACCTTCACAATTTCTAATGTAATACCGGATCTTTGTCAAATATAAAAGAAACAAAATGGATAAAAAATAACAAGTGATTGATCAACACTTAATAACAAAACAAAGACTGCATTTTACAAGCATTAGTTGAAACTCTAGCTTCAGTTGCCCTTTATTTAATGCTATCCACTGGCCTCAAAACTGAACAATTCATGTTTCAGCAAAGCCACTGAGAGGATGTGAATAGAATTGAACTAGGATACAGTTTCCCCTATGATAACAAATTTTCCTTTGCCCATTTTCCCTTTTTCTATTGAAAAGAAAAGTAATGAAATGAAAGGAGGAGTATTTCATACTGAAAGTGTTAGCCATTGCTCATTTTGATAACAGCTTTACTGTTTCAGCAATAAATATGATAGGAATAATAACCCATGAGTGCACGCAAAACTTTTATAACTTCTTTAGCAATGAATTTGTTTTTCTCTACTCCTAGATCTTATTACTATGAGCATCTGTAGGCATCCTTTCTACAAACATAGTAATTCAGACTCTTTAGCAACATAGCAACACTGACCTTATAGTAATGTCTCAAAGACAAAAAAAAAAAAAAAACAGAATCAATTAAGAATTGGAGAAAGGATTACCTGAATGCTTGCTGTAGAGCGATTTTTGCGTGTTGTGGTAGTAGCCATTGTAGTGGTGGTTTCCATGACAGTGGTAGACATTTCTGGTGGCATGGAGGTCGTCTGTGTTGTTCCCAAGATTGACGGGACTTCTCCCACCAGCCGGACACTTCCATTGATTTTAATATTGGGGTTGTTCTCAGCTGCCATGTTCAGTACTTTCAAACCATCATAATAGAGCCCAGAGAGCTGGCCTTGGAAGAGACGTCCTTTGTCTTTTCCACCGATGGCTATTTGCGCCTGGGTGTTGAAGATGGTTAACTGCCGGCCTAGTGGGTTGGGTGGAGGAAACATTATTATTCCCATATGTAATCTCTCTTTGCCTTGCCTGGTCTCAATGGACCAGGCATCAAAACAGGCTTCCGTGAACAAATGAAGGGGAAAAAACTGGATAACAAAAATTCAATAGACATTAGCAAGTAACATTTCACTATGTTTATCTCTTCCACTGTCTAGCTGAATATCCTAGATAAGCTAAATAATTCAGTCTCTATTTCATTATTATAAGGAAAGAGAAATCTTGGTTCAAAGATCCGCAGTATTGTAGTCTTCTTGGGTATGTAGTTGTGGATGACAGAAAGTAATCCCCAAATCAGGTGATGACAGTAATAAAGCATAAATACCTATCGCACTAATTTTTAACCTACAAAGTCATATAATGGCAACTAAATAGAATTATATATGGCAAACAAAAACTCAGTGAGGTGACTCAGAACACTGAATTAAAAAAAAAAAAGACTGATAATTAAATTAACTGAAATGAAATTAAATTCCAATTAAAAGATTTGGATTCATTGCATACTTATAGAAATGAAGTTTACTCACCAAACACCTCATTTCCTAGAAATCTTCATAATACATAATATTCTATCTATACTTGCTGTTTAATAAACATGATGACTGATAATTTCCTACCTCTTTTAATTTGGGGGAGGAATGGGATTATGGTCACACAACTATATCTCTCCCTAAAACATGGGAAATAAACAGGCATTGATAATGTTTCAGGGGTGGGGAAAAGAAAAAAATGCCATTCCAAATCAATGAATTTTAAAAAAAGGGGATGGGTATTCAGGAAAAAAGCAACACATAAAATTCCTTAAAACGATAGGTATGTTCATGTGTTGAAGACTATCAGTAGTTCAACTTATTTGGAGTCCCATTTGGGGAACCATTTGTGTTTCTGTGAATAGAAAACTATCAGAATGAAATCATGACAGAATTGAGTTTAGAATAGTGCAACTCAATTTATCTTCTTCCCAACTACCTCTACTTAAAAAAGCCTCTCTTAAGTGCTAGATCTTTCCCAGAAAAATCCAAACAGCTTTTTAAGGCTAAGCAAGTCTATGCTATTATTTCTTCAGATTATTTCCTTCTGCTTTTCCATATGGAGAAGGGGGAGAGACTTATTAATGGAATTAAATATATCCTTTTTGAGTTTTTCTTAAGTCAGTAATCAAACAATATTCCACTCATTCTTAATCTAATCACTTGCATTATTTTAGCTATAAATGGCTGGAATGTTCTGTTATTCCTGCCTGCTTATTAAAAGGGAGTCTATTTTTAAAAGACTAAGGTTTTTGACCCCACAATCTCTGATATGAATAGAGGCATACTGTGATGTTTGGGCTCTTAACTTCTACCACTATTACACGGTCTTTAAATCTCTACGATGAGGGGCACCTGGGTGGCTCAGTTGTTAAGCATCTGC